TGGTTCTCTTTGTTAAGTTTTATATTTTGACCAAGATATATAGGTATAATCCTGAACTTGTTCCATTTCATCTTGTCCGATTCTCATTGTAATGCCTTCATCTTTATTTGTTATGGTTTTGGTCTTGCTGTAATTCATATTAAGGCCAATCTTTCCAACTTCTACGTCCAGTTCTTTCATCATTTCAAATAATTCTTCTTTTTTATCGGTTATCAATACGATGTCATCTGCGTACCTTAGATGGTTCAAGCGTTGTCCACAAATTGTTATACCTTTTTCTTCCCATTCTAATCTTTTAAAAGTATCTTCAAGAGCCTGATTGAAAAGTTTCGGTGATATTGTATCACCCTGTCTCACTCCTCTATTTATTTGTATTGATTTTGTTTCTTCATATACTTTAATTGCTGTTTTGGCTTCCTTAAATATATTGACAATTAGTTCCGTATATCTGTGGTCAATTCTGCTGTTAATCACAGAACTTTTCACTGCCCAATATTCGACGCTGTCGAAAGCCTTTTCGAAATTTATGAACGCCATATATAGAGGAATGTGGTATTTATTTGCTCGTTCTGGGCATATTTATTATAGGCATATTCTTAGATATCCAGAAGACTTTCGATCAGGTTTGGCACGCAGGTCTGATCGAGAAACTCCGCCGCTGTTGACTACCAACCACAATTTTAAAAATAATACACTCATATATCTCCAATCGTATCATAAGAGTTAGAATCAATGACAAATTCTGCACACCATTCACTCCACAATTTGGTGTGCTTAATTTCAGGACAATCATTTACACAGTTTATAATAGCGATCTCTCCCGTCCTATAGACCAATACGAAACTACCTTAATCTACGCCGACTACACTGCACTGATTTCCTCGCACAGTCGACGAAATGATAAGAAACCGCACTGTGTTCAAACAGGTCAAAGGCCCAACTCAACAAAATCATCAAACGGTGTAACAAATGGAGAGTCACTCTTAACCCAATTAAGACACAGGCCATCCTATTCAGATATCCGAAAACTTCACAGTTTAAGGACAAGGGCAACCTGATAGAACTGTAAAGGGAACTAGACTGCCCTTTCAAATTTTGGTGACCTACTTGGGAGTTTAATTTCAGAAGAATCTCAGATGGGACACGCAACTAAATCTCTTATGGCTAACAATCTTACTCATTAACACTTACACTGACTGACTGCTGATTCTTAGCAAACCACTCGTCTTCCCAATATCTCCCTTTACTAACACAAAACTGCTTTCGCTGACTAACGTTAACTTTTGCCAAACTACCTGGCAAATAAGCCCATACCTTGAAAAAGCGCCCCGCCTAAACGAGGTTTACATAATGTTACACTACTTATTCACTCATGTTTACATTCTTTATTAGTTTAAGATGGATTAAAAATTCTATTAATATAAAGACTGACATTAAAGGTTTTTCATATATGTATCATAATTTAATAAACTACGTTACCCCCTCTGAGGCTCAGTGGTAAGAGCGCCTACCTTTAAACCTAAAGGTCGTGAGTTCGAATCTCATCTGGGTGGAGAAATTTTCGTTTATTAAAAATTAATGAATGAAAATAATTTCTATCCTTGTGCGATCGGTACTCACCGGAGGGACCGCAGACGTTCGGATGCAATTAGCGTCTCTTAGCAAAGACAATGACGTCGACTTTGCTAAGTATCAAGACAATTACTCTACACACACACACACACACACACACACACACACACACACACACACACACACACACACACACTACACTAGGTACCTGACTGTACCATGTCAATGATCTTAGTTGTCGAGGCATTAACTTAATAATAAAAAAAAATAAACTACGTTGTTTTTAAATGCATTATGGTAGATATTTAAGATACGACTTTCAACCACTTGTGTTTTAAGTTACCTGCCAGATCTGTCAATATCAGATACCACTTTTTTAATTCATGTTAAACTTCCAAAGAGTAAAAATATGAAATATAATTGTATACTGTAATATTTATAAAATAAAGTGCTTAGTACATTGTTGATATTTCCAGCGTATTTTAACTTGGGTTCCATTTTTAACGGGTCTACCACATTTTTTGTAATTGTTTCCTTAGTTGTGGCTTTCTTGTGTAATATTTTGGTTTGTTCGTATACATCAAACATCAAGTGAATAATTATATTTAAGATGTGATTAACTTCAAAATATTAAACAGACAATACAAATAATGGCTGGGCTGTAAAGACTTACACTGTAAAACTCCGTCTACACTTTTGATCGAAGTTCTTCGGACAAGCTATCAAAGTGAAGTTAATAAAGGCGAGGTGACTTTCGTCGACTACGAACTCGTTGAATTACCGAAAAAACTCAGAGTAGGCACGCTTTATTACACTAGCAATAGCAACGATATCGATTAAGTTGAGCAACTAACATTGGAAGAAACGATAAACGTCATAAAACATCTAAAAAATAACAAAGCACCTGGCACAGATGGAATAACTGCAAAACTAATAAAGAATGGTAAACATGGGCTATGGAGGCGTATCCATAAACTAATCGATCGCGTATGGACACTAGAAGTTATCCCAGAATATTGAAAATTAGGAATCATACTTCCTATGTACAAAGGAGACAAACGACTCTGCAAAAATTATAGGGGCATAACAGTTTTAAATGTCGTCATAAGATAATATCAGGAATTATATACAACCGCCTAAAATCGTTTTGGGAGGAGATGGTTGGTGAATACCAATGTGGCTTCAGACCAAAGAGGTCAACTATAGACCAAATAAATATGTTAAAAGGTATACATGAACAATGTGTTGAATATAACATACATGTTTACAACTTGTATATCGAATTCAAACAGACGTTTGATGGAGTAGATACCCAATAAGTTGGTTACACTTATACGAATATCTCTGGAGATTCCAAAGCTGTGGTGAGAATAGATGGAGATATGACGCAGACCTTTGATATTGAAAATGGAGTTGATGCCTTATCAACAACACTTTTTAATCTAACTTTAGAAGCTGTTGTTAGAAAACTGGATATAAACTGTATAAAAACAAGATTATGCAAATATGCGTATATGCGGATGATGTTGCCATAATATATCGCAACAAAAGTGTATTAAGCGAAAAAGTCATAGAACTCAAATGAGAAGCTGCTACGTTTGGTCTGTATATAAATGAAAGCAAAACAAAATATATGGAGTGCACACAATTGAATCAACATGAGAATCTGAAGGTAGACAACCACACCTACAAATATGCCTTTACTTTTTTTTACCCAGGCTCAATAATAAATAACAACAACAGCATCAGTCAAAAAATACAAGCACGGATTCTTAGCGGTAATAAGTGCTTTTATGCATACAAAGACTTAATGAAAAGTAAGTTACTGAATAGTGAGTCTATGCTTAGGATCAACACAACAGTAATTACACCAGTGGTCACCTATGAATGTGAAACGTAGATCCTCTAAACCACTGATGAAAATCAACTGATAATATTTAATCGCGAAATACTAAGGAAGACATTTGGACCAACCCAATGCAGCGATGGTTCGTGGATAATTAAAATGAACCACGAGCTGGATGCACTAATGGATAGCGTTGATAATGTTAGATTTGTAAAGAAACAAAGACTAAACTGGCTTAGTCGACTATAAAGAATGCCAGATAATCGAGCTGTAAAAGTAGTCTAGAGATGAAAGCCTAAAGAAAACAGAACAAGTGAAAGGCCCGTAAAAGATGGATCGATGACATAGAGGGGGATCTTAAAACCATGAACATCAGGCAGTGGCGAAGGAAATTATCTGACAGGGTAGAATGGAAGAACATTGTTAAGCAGGCCAAGACTCACAAAGGGTTGTAGTTCCATTAAAAGAATAAGAAGAATAAGTTAGTGTAAATTTGAACTTACCCTTTTAGTTTAGTTATTTAATGCTTCTTTATGCTTAAAGAAAAAAATTATTTTTTCTTTTTAAATCAATTACACTACAAATGTAGAGCATAACTTAAATCGTCTTAAGTTAACCCTCCGTTAGTCGCTATACGTCTCACACACCGACGAAGAAATTATTCATTCTGGATTTACAAATAACTGTTATTTTTCTATCGCCACTTTCTGTAGCTCTCCCTATCAACCAAACTCGTGTTAGTGTACATGCTTACCTTCCTGGGTACAGTTGTGTAAGTTGTATAGTTATTTTAGGTGCCAGACTCCGTAGCGACTAACGGCGTAGCTATTACTTATTGCAGAACTTGCAGAACAGGTAAATATTTATCATCTTATTATTGCATTTTATCAGTAAGTTTTTGTCATTTCTTATTTATACCGCTTGTTGGAATTAGGGAGAATGAATCCTACCGACGATGAAAATTATTTTGACGATGAGGGAAATGAAAGCGAAATCGATCAAATTGAGAAACGTGATGGTGGAAGTGAATCGGATCAAGATGTGACAGATGAGGAAGAAGAAAGTGGAAGTAATACCTTAGCGTTTACTGGAAAAGATAGAGGTACTAGATGGAAAAAGGCTATTCTACCGTTAAATGTTAGAACAAGACAAGAAAATTACATATTACGTAATAAAAACTAATGTTTGTATTTTGAGAACGACATCCGAAGTGGAAATTAAAACGTCAATAAACTTACTTTAACCTTTAATTGTAACTTATTCCCATTTAAACAATAATTACTTTAAAATGCAACAAGAAAATAGCTTAAGAACAATATTCACAATATATTTTTATACTATTGTTTTTCATTTTGTCTCTGTTTTTTTTTTCAATGAAATATTTTCAAAAATATTCTTTAGTTATTCTTATACACAATATAAAATATTTGTATGAATTTTATATTAAAAACTAATTTTTTTAATTGTCGGTCTCTGACACCGTAGCGACTCTTGATGCTCAGTTTTTCCTAGTGACTAACGGAGGGTTAAGTTTAGAATATTAATAAAATCAATAAAAAATACAAATTATAAATCTTTTTAGGTAGTTGGACCTGCACAAATCCAAATAAACTCAATCGATAATTGCCCGCAAGATACAACTCTCAATGGAATAAATATGCAACTTAAGTTAGATGAACAAGGCAAAAGTGTCAGTGGAAATGTGACCCTTACATCAGATTTTGATGCAAAAGTGAAAATTAATTTAAGACGTAAGATAATGACTTTTTTATTACTCCAAATTAAATTGCTTAAAACGATTAACAATTTTTGTGCATTTTGTTCTATAAAAATGTTGTATGTACGTTTATATACGCTTATATAGGTTTATGTAGGTTTATACCATGCGGTCCACATGTATGGAATAAATTCATTTTTAGCGTTATTATAAACTATGTGAGAAAAACCTTAAACAGGTCGATTTTGATTCTTAAATTGACAATTTACAGTATGAAAATATTATTCCCATCCAGCACCCCATTTGAATTATAAGCACCCCCTCGAAAATTTTAAATATAAAAGAGGGTCGTATGGCAGCTTATTAGAAAGGGATTTTAGTCCTCTGTTCAGCAATATAATTTTTTTTTAGTTTGGCGCAATGGTAACTGAGAAAATTGTTTTTTAAGATGTACAATTTGTCAATAACCGAGGCGATTTTGAAATTCTCGTAGAACATTGTGTACGACCTCGGGGGTTATTTTGTTAATTTCCTTCGCCATCCTCATTTAAATCAGCAATGCTCTTTGGTCTATTAAAATATACTTTAGGTTTTAAATACCCCGATAAGAAGTAATTGGGAGGAGTCAAATTGGAGGATCTTGCCGGCCATTCGATTCGTTCCACCTCTTCCAATCCACCTATTGGAAAAAACCTCATTTAAATAATTTCTAACTATACGTGTAAAATGCGGTGGAACTCCGTCTTGTTGGTAGTAAATAGATCGATCTATCTTATTTGGACGGCCAACATCAGGAAAATATCTTCGTAATGTAGGCACTAAAAAGTTACTCAAAAGATCTAGATAAACCTTACCATCAACTGTGCCCTCAAAAAATAAGGACCAATAATTTTATTGTTAATGATACCAGCCCAAACGTCAACTTTTTATGATATTTCGTGTGAGTCTCACATAACCAGTGAAGATTTTCTCTGCTCCAATATCTACAGTTCTGTTTGTTAACCGTTCCGTTTAAATTAAACGTCGCTTCATCAGAAAAAATTATTTTGTTTAGGAACTGCAAATCTGCGTTCATTCTGTCCATCATCATTTCACAGAATTCTTGCCTTCTATTAGGATCACCTTCATTTATTTTTGTAAGGGTGGTATTTTTCTTGATGCAAAACTCTCAAAATAGATGATTTACTTACATCATGGACGGCGGCATGTTCTGGAGTTGTCTTATGCTGATTTTCCTCAATCTCTAGAAGTACATTTAACTTTTTTTCATCAGTAAATTTAACATATCTACCTGGTTTTTCAATATTTTTACATGTCCAATATAACGAGTCTCGGACAAATGAGCCATAATTAAATTTATTATGTGCATAAATATTATAATGACGTCTATTAGTAACTTTAAATGCCTAAATGACAGCAGCCTACTAGATTCATATCAATTGTGTATTTGGCTTTTTGACTAATTTTTTATTATCTTTAAAATTTTAAATTTTAAAGTTGGGATAATAGAAGAAATTAACAAAGTATACCCCTAGGTCATACAAACTGTTGTACGAGAATTTCAAAATCACCTCGGTTATTGTCAAGAAGTGAATAATGGTGGTCAAGTTGAACATTTAATTTAATTGTAAAAATTAATTTTCTCTATTAGGATTGCACAAACCCAAAAAACTTTATATTGTTAGACAGAGGACTAAAATTCCTTTCTAACAAGGTGCCTTACGACCCCCTTTGTAATTTAAAATTTTCGAGGGGGTGCTTATAATTGAAAGGGGATGCTAGATGGGAATAATATTTTCATACCGTTAATTGTCAATTTAAGAATAAAAATCGACCTGTTTCAGGTTTTTTCCGTAGTACATAATAACGCTAAAAATGAATTTATTCCATATATATGGACCGCATGGTATATTCCAATAGGCTAGTTTTTTTATTTAGCAAATTTCAAATCAGCATTTTTCTATTGTTTAAATTTTACACATTAAGTCAGCCGCAATTAGTTTTTTAGTAATAATATTTTTATTAACGTTCGTATAAATATTAAAAATAAAATAATTAAATCAAATACAAATGATCGAGGTCTAATACGGGAATTCTTCCAATCATGTATCCTCTGAAATCTGGCACCATTTATGCCAAACAAATATGTCAAAGGTAACTATTGTGAGACTTGTGTATGACGGATGTGGCGGACAAAATAATAACAGGATTGTATTTACTTTGTACTTGATATAGTTATGTAAGCGAGCTCCTATGAATACAAAGAAAATGGAGCTATTATTCTCTGTTAGAAGGCACTTACTTATTCCTCCCGATAGGGTATTTCTGCCGATTAAAAGAGAAATAAAAAAAATAAAAGCGTAGCAAATCCTGCAGACCATTCCAATGAAATGAAAGATTATACGACTCTTTTGTTAACTGACAAAAATTTTCCAACTTTTCCAACTTTTTCGACTGGAAGAGTAAAGCTGATAGCCTCATTAAAAATACAAGGCAGTTGCATTTTAAATTTACCACATATAAAGGACTTTATCTTAAGCTATCTATTAAAAAATCTGGAGATAATTTGGTAAAGGGTGATCCAAATTTTAACGTTTTAACTGGAGCGTTTTGAAGCTCAGATTCCGAAGCGCATTGGGCACAAGAGAGGCGATCTTCAGTCTGCAAGTTTTAATTCAAAGATGTAGAGACATGCACAAGGACGTCCACTTGTGCTTCATCGACTTCTCCAAGGCATTTTACAAGGTCAAACATGATAAACTCATGGAAATGCTCAGGAAGATGCATATTGATGGCAACGATCTGCGCATACTAACCAGTCTCTATTGGAACCAAAGTGCTGAGATAAAAATGGGCAACTTACACAGTGGGAAGATAGATATTAAAAAGGGTGTACGACAGGGATGCGTCCTCTCGCCGCTCCTGTTCAATATATACTCTGAACAAATCTTCAGAGAAGCACTGGGAGAAGTTTCGGAGGATATTAAAGTAAATGGGGAGGTAATCAATAATATTAGATATGCGGACGACACAGTTATTATCGCAAATGACTGCAACGAGCTTCAAAGACTCATGCAAAGCATACACACAGCAAGTCAATAATATGGTTTAGAACTCAATACAACCAAAACTAAATGCATGCTCATCAGCAGAACAAAAGAACCTCCGATGCAATTGACATTAAACAACCGAAAAATAGAACAAGTGGAGACATACACATACCTTGGAACCACAGCCAACACAAAATGGGACCAGTCAACAGAAATAAGATCACGAATTGAAAAATCGCGAAACGCGTTCAACAATATAAAAAAGTTGTTCAAAAGCAAAATCTCAATGGAACTAAAATTAAGACTGGTCAAGTGTTATGTCTTTCCGATCTTGTTCTATGAAGCAGAGGCATGGACCACAACGAAAGCCATCCTGAAGAAACTAGAATCCTTTGAGCTGTGGATATATCGCCGTATTCTTCGGGTATCCTGGACAGACCACATCACTAACGTGGAAGTAATCCAGAGAATAGGCAAAAGCAAAGAAATAATCTTCACCGTAAATAAACGGAAGCTTGAGTACTTCGGACATATCATGAGGCATACTAAGTACCGGCTGCTACAGTTAATAGTCCAAGGAAAAATCGACAGTAGGAGGGGACCGGGAAGAAGGCGACACTCATGGATGCATAACCTGCGACAATGGTTCGGACTAACATCGACCGAACTGTTCAGAGGTGCCGTAAACAAAGTCAAAATAGCCTTGTTAATAGCCAACGTCCGAAAGGGATAGGGCAAAAGAAGAAGAAGAAGAAGTTTCGAAGCTTAACCAAGAATCAAGAAAGATTAACTCGTATTAATCCTACCACACTTAAAGCCAAAAATATACAAAATGTCAGACGGAAGAAGGTAAAGCACATTAAGAATTTGCTTGAAATCCATTTTTGAGAAACTTGGCTCCAAAACCCAAGATTGGAATACTACAAAGCACATCTACAGACCATGGATCTACCAAGCGTAATTATCCACGAAAATTTACTCTGTGGTCCACAAAGTAAAGAAAATATAGCACTATCTGTATGTAAGTTTAGTAAAACTTTATTAAAATGATTAATTATGCCAACAATTAAAAAAAAAGGACTTTTGATTTAACTAGAACCGTTTCAAATGACTTAGAGTCAGCGAAATTTGTATCCAAGTAACCAAAATTATAGTATTAGCATCACATTCGCTAATGTTCTTGAATTTTCTTTGTAGATAATTGACAAAATATACAAGAAGCAAATGAAGATCTACAACAACAAAACTTATTTCAAACGGACATGTACAAAGAATGACAGACCATGGCCTACTGAAAATAATATTGGATTGGTAGTACCTAAGCAAAAACAAACGAGAAAGATTACAAACAACATAGCTTAATGCAGTTCAAAAGACAATGTCAAAGAGAGAGAGAGAAAGAGAGATAAAGAGAGATAGAGATAGATAAGAGAGAGAGAAAGAGAGAGAGAGAGAGAGAGAGAAAGAGAGAGAGAGAAATAGAGAGAGAGATAAAGAAAGAAAGAGAGAGATAGAGAGGGACAGAGAGAGAGAGAGAGAGGATAGACATCAATGAAAACTGAGAAGCGAAAAGCGCAGGATACCTTCTTCTTCTTTTTGTGCCACTCCTATCGGAGATTGGAAATCATCAAGGCTATTCTGACCTTGTTTACGGCTGACCTAAAGAGTTCAGGATACCTACGTGACATAATATATAAAAATTTCGTAATTATAATATTAGTCGTTTCTAACATAATTTAAGCGTTTTGCCACACTCTCTTCGTATTACATAGACATCTATTAAATTAATAGACCAAGCAGATGTGAAAAATGACGACGATTAAAAAATTAAATTATTTAAAAATAATTAAAAAGATTCTGACCGATTTGAGAAGGAGGGTATATCAATTATTGTTAAATGCCACCAGTCACTAACATCCACCTCAAAACAGATCCGCCCTTGTCTGTAGTATTCCTTTTAAATTATAAATAATAAATCACTATT